GGTCAGCTGCTCATCTGTCTCGCGAAGGATTTTCAGGATTTATCACTCAGCACTCACCATAGGTGGTCACCCCCATGCACCACTTCCAGGAGGAGTCATAACCTCACTGTCATTGACTGAGGGCCCACTAGATGTCAAACACGGTGCCAGTTACCACCGATGCTTAGAAGAGCCTTGTACGTTTCTGGACCGACAAAGCTGTAAGAACACCAACTTGGACTGAAGCCCTCCACCAAGGTCAGCCCCATGGTTACTCTCTCTGCATGGCTCCCACGAAGCTTCCTATTTGCTCCTGCTGAACAAGGAGGACTCGGAAGGACAATGCATTCCTGACTTTGTCTTTGTCCTGGCAAGAGGAACTCCTGGCCAGAGGGATTCAATGGCGCAGGCATGCATCTGGCGTGCTGGGGGCCCTGCCACTGTCTTGCTTCAACTCTGCCCTCTGCTCCGCCATCTGACACAACGGATAGAGCTGGGCCTGTTTCATTTCCACCCGGGGGAACAGCAGCCCAAACTCTCCCGGTGCTGTGGGGTTTGTGGCTCAGCTGAATGTTGAGCGAGGGGTACAGAGAAAATGTCCCCAGAGCATCAGGAGCGTGCGGCAGCCATTTGACCCGGAACTTCAACAAGATCTGACCAGGAGAAATTCTCTTCCGTGTGCACCGGGAGCCCAGTCCACCCGGTATCCTGGTGATGATCAGTATCAGTCCCCCTGGAGTAGGGCCATGGGCTGCTGGTGCCTGAGCCTGCCCAGGCACTGCCCAGCGCCTGCTGCCAGGGGCACTGCGGGCCAGGTTCAAGGCCGTGCTGCTGAGCCTACATCCAGGCTTCCATATCAGCTTCAACAGCCTGCGTGGCTTGGCCTCAGGGAACCACCTGCATTTGCATGGCTATTACCTGGCCCACAGACTGCCCGTAGAGGGGGCACCAAGTGAGCCCCTAGACCCTAGTGGCCTTTTGCACCTGCTCCAGGCCCTCCCAGCCCCTGGCTTCCTCTATCATACTAGCAGCCCAGGACCTGACTTAGAAGCCTTGGTAAGCAGGGTATGCCAAGCCACTGACTCCCTGACTGACCACGAGATTGCACATAACTTGTTCGTGACCCGGGGAACCCCATCTGGGAAGACCTGACCTTCCTCAGCCCTCATGGGGGTGCGAGTCATTCTCTGGGCCGGGAAGTCCAGCTTTGGGATAAAGGAAAGCTAGGGTTTCAATGTTGCCCTCTGCAAGTTGGCTGGGCCCCTCCCTGCCAAAACATCCCAGGACTTCACCAGTCTGACGGAGGCAGCTGCTCTGACCCTTCTCCAAGACTGTCTTCTGTCTCCAGCCCAGCGGAGGAAGTCCGGGCAGCCCCGGTGGCCCAGGAGGAGCAGTAATCGTTCCCAAGGTATTTATTCTCTTACTGATCTTAGTCCTTTGCCAGAGCCCTACCCATAAGGCCATGGGGCCTTGTGATATGGCTGCTTACTCAACATGGCTCAGCTGACGGAAGAGATAAAGAACTGATAAGTGGTCTTTAAAAGAGCAAAACCAAGCTCGCGTCAGCAGCACATACACTAAAATTGGAATGATACAGAGACAATTAGCATGGCCCCTGTGCAAGAATGACACAAATTCTTGACACATTCCAAATTTTTCCAATAAAACTATTTAATAAACCAAAAAGCAAAACCTTGAAATAAATTTAACAAATTATCCCTAGTTTTATCTGCTGCTTCTCTCCGTTCTCCTTTTGCCCCAGAGATGTCACACCTGTTGTTGAGAAGAGAGGGTATGAAAATGAAAATCTGGGGAACCAATTACAAGGATCTACATATAACCTCCTCCCTAGGGGATGAACAACAGAGAAGTGGGTGAAGGGAGACATCGGACAGTGTAAGACATGACAATAATAATTCATAAGTTATCAAGGGTTCATGAAGGAGGGGGGAGCAGGGAGGGAGGGGAAAAATGAGGAGCTGATACTAAGGGCTCAAGTAGAAAGCAAATGTTTTGAGAAGGATGATGACAACAAATGTACATATGTGCTTGACATAATGGATGGATGTATGCATTGTGATAAGAGTTGTACAAGTTCCCAATAAAATGATTAAATAAAAAAATTTTTTAAATGAAAATCCTAATTTTAAATTTATTACCTCCTATGCATGTGAAACTTGGACATCAAATAAGGAAGCCTGAAGAAAAATGCACTTGAACTATGGTACTGGTGAAGAATATCGAAAAGTACTCTGGGCTGCCAAAAGGAAAAATCTGTCTTGGAAGAAGTACAGCCAGAATGCTCCTTAGCGGCAAGGATGGCGAGACTTCATTTCATGTACTGTGGACATGTTATCAGGAAAGGCCAGTCCCTGGAGAAGGACACCATGCATGGTAGACAGTGAGCAAAAAAAGGAAGTCCCTTGAGATGAATTTACAAAGTGGCTGCAACAAGGAGCTCAAACTTAACAACAATTGTAACTTTAATAACTTTAGTCTCTGCAAGTTTTTGCATATACCATCTTGGTTTGGGGAGTTGGTTCCAGGATTCACCCCTCCCCAAATACCAGAATCCTCAAGTTCCTTATATAAAATAGCTATGATATTTGCATACAGCCTAGGGAACATCCTCAGGTATACTTTATTTTGTTTTTAATTTTTTTTAATTTATTATTATTTTTATTTTTCCCAAAACCATTTTACTGGGAGTTGATACATATGAGGGGGTATCCCCCTAAAAAAAAGAGAGAGAGAGAAACCTCCATTGGGTGGAGCTTTTGTGGTATGCATGTTTCCCCACTAGGCAAAGCATTGGGCAATTCCCTCTGAGTTAGTGCACCCAGTGGCGTTGCATGGGAAGGTTCCTCTGGTCACTGAATTTTTTCATAAAGGCAGTTTCCCTTGAATCTCCTTTTTTGTGATGGCTGATTTACTACAACAGCATGTGGCTGTGAAAATTTGTTTCCTGCTCGGGAAAAATGCCTCAGAAACTGTTGTAATGTTGAACACAGCTTACAAAGACAGCACCATGGGAAAAACTCAAGTGTACCAGTATTTTTCTCATTTCAAAAAAGGTGAAATGTCGATTGATGACAAACTTTGTTTGGATGTCCGACAACTTCCCGAAAGGATGAAAATGTTGACTCGTAGTGCATTTGGAATTCATTTCCCAGGTCGGAATGTTAATCAAGCTTTCTGAAAAGATAGCGTTATACAGTGTGCGACAAAAAAGACCTGATACGTGCCAGACAGGGGGACTGGTTTTGCCACCACGACAATGCACCTACTTACGCAGCCATCTCAATGTGCCAGTTTGGGGCGAAAAACATCATGCCTCTCTTGCCCATACTCAGACCTCTCTCTGTGTGACTTCTTTTTGTTTCTGCGAATGACAAGGGACATGAAAAGACATGTTTCCAAGAATGGAATCAGATTTGACAAATTAAGTGTAGTGGAGAGTACTTTTAAGGTGAAAAGGCTGTTTTACTTAAAAAAAAAAAATACATAGATTTGGGAGAAATAATTCCGGGTTTTGGGGGGGTACTCCTTCATATATCATTCCATAGTTCAATCCTCAGGTATAATTTAAATCCTCTGTACACTACTTATAATACCTAGTACATGTAAATGCTACACAAATAGCATCTGTGGTGGTTACATAATCTAGTGCCAACTTGAGACTATTAAGAGTGAAGGGATGGGTTTAGCCTGTCAATCAAGCCACTGCTTGATGACCTCATTTGGAGACACTACAGAGACAATAGCTTGCTGGAGCCAGGACACACCCTCTGCTTGGTATTCCTGATGGCAAAACATATGGAGCTATGCTAGAGCCTTGGAGCTGGAGAAGCCATGCGGAGATGCACGCCAGCACCAAGATGCTTCAACCACCACTGGATCCACAAGACTTTGCACCAACTGACCTGTGATCTTCCTGCACACAGTGTCATTGCATGTGTTGGCTTGAGTCTGAAGAGGAATTTACAGACTGGCATTGGACATATGGGCTAATATCGGACTTATGGACTTGATCTGGACTTGGCTGGGATGTTTTATTAATGTACAATTGCTCTTCGACATAAAGTTCTCTCTTACACACACAAAAAAAATGTTCGGCGATAAAAGAGGTGAGAATTATCTTTTATTTCGCTACTTAACATATCTTTTAAGCACCTTTTGGCTATGTACATTAAAACATCACTATTATTACTGTAAGGAGCCCTAGTGGCATAATGGATAGATGTTGGGCTGCAAAACACACGGTCCGAAGTTCAAAATCACCAGTCACCCTCAGGAGGAAGAAGGGGCTCCCTACTCTTGTAAAGAGTTACAGTCTAGGAAACTCACAGGGGCAGTTCCACCCTGTCCTAAAGGGTCTCTAGGAGTCAGCAGTGGCTTGGTGGCAGTGAATATTATTACTGTATTGTGATGTTAAGGGTCCTTTACTGTGTCTGGAAGTGTTTCTTTAATGTTTTCCTTGGTCCTACAGAGATCCTATGAGACTAGACGGCAATGGGTATAAATCATTAGTATAAATTTCAGATGGAACAGAGTTGAAAACAAAAAGTGACATTACCCTACATATTGACAGCAATCACTAGTCTCCTGGGTATGACTGGGAAACCAGCTATGAACCAACCTCACTTTTCCACCATGACCTCACGGATGATGAAAGACCCTGCAAATGTCTCTCAGAAGCTATCAGAGTTTGTCCTTCTGTGTTTCACCATTCTGTCTCTATCACTGGTACTCGGCCTTCACTGTACATTTACATTATCCTATTGTAAAATGACCACTGCTCCTTACAAAGTTAAATATAGGGTTATCATGGGACCTAACAATTCTACTCCCAGATATACAAGGAGGCTTTGAAAGGTTTCTAGGAAAAAAACTCTGTGTCTAGTAATGTAGTGGGTTTCATGTGGGGCTGCTAACTAACCACAAGGTCAGCAGTTCAAAACCACCAGCCACTCTGCAGGAGAAAGATGAGGCTGTCTACTCCCATAAAGATCTATAGCTTCAGAAACTCAGAGGGACAGTTCGACTCTGTCCTACAGGATCACTATGAATCAGAATCGACTCGATGGCAGAAGCAGACTGCCACATCTTTCTCCCACAGAATGGCTGGTAGGTTCAACGCAAGAACCTTTCATCGACTGCCAAGTGCTTTCACCACTGCGCTACCGGTCTCTTTCCCAGGTATACGCTTAGGAAAAATGGAGACCTATGTCCACAAACAATGCGGAGATGAATATTCAAAGCAACATTATTCATAGGAGACAAAAATGGAAACAATCAATTTTACATCAACTGATAAAATGTTTTAAATATGGACTTGCCATTCAATAGACTATTACTCCACTATAAGAAGAAATAAAATCTGATGGACGAATCTTGGAAACTCTATACTAAGTGAAAGAAACTGGGCACAAGATACTACATGTTTAGCAGCCAATGTGTAACTCTCTGTGCCCCCAAGCCTCCTGCCGAGATGTCTAGAATGGGCACATCCATGGAGACAGGAAGCAGTGGTGGTTGCCTAGCGCTGGACGAGATGGAGGATGTGGTGGGGTTGGAAGCAATGGCTTCAAGTTACAGATTTTATTTGTTTGTTTTGGGGGATCATGAAAATGTTCTAAAATTGACAGTGGTGGCCATTGGAAAACTGCAAATACAATATCTATGTGAATTTTGAAATATGGTACTAAAAAATAAAACTAAATCATGCCTCTGCTCAGGCTCTACCTCAGAGATTTTTTTTTTTCAATTGCTCTGGATTGAGGCTTGGACATCAGCCCCCAAGTGATTAGGGTCAGTAGCCCAGTCCGAGATGCATTGATTTTAACCATGGCGAATGATTGATTTTGAGGAAAGCCATGCTGCCTCTCCATGACCATCCTCTCGCCCAATCCAGCCTTTTAATAGTCTTTCCTAGAATTATGCCTTCCCTCAGGCCCAACCTTCAGTTAGCAAGTCCCTTCTTCTTGTTGATAATTGTGCTAGTCAGCTGTTCCTGCTTTTCAGCCACCCTCACTGCTGGGCACACTTCCTTCAGCGTTATCTCAGAACTGGCCACTTTTTTCCTTCAGCTCTTTACAAGAAATTTATCATTCACAATCACTTTGAATTTACTATTCAACACAGCATCTGTTGCTTGGGAGGAAGTTTTGGAAAACATGACTAAGCAAGTGGTCTAAACTCGGGCTATTAAAATCCTTCCACCCAGTTTCAAGCTACATCTTGGATGTTAACTTGGAGCACAGGCAGTTCAACGGGGAAGTACTTGTCTACAAATGGAGTGGAGGTTAGGACTCACTAATTAAGGTGACCAGATGTCCCGCTTTTGGTGGGACAGTCCTGCTTTTTGGCATTTTTAAAAGTCCCGATGTTTGGAAAGAATACACGACAAGCTAGGGAACGGTCTATTTGGTCCATATAGACCAAATTTTTAATCAAGAAACACGCCCCACCTCCCGGTCAATGGTGTCCCGCTTTAAATCTGGGCACCTTACACTAGCTACTTGGGGGAGAAAAGACCTGGTGGTTTTCCCCTATTAAAATTATAGGCCAGGAATTCCCATGGGACAGATACACACACACACACACACACACACACACACACACACACACACACTCTCTCTCTCACTCTCTCTCATTG